ACAGTAATTAAAGAAATAAAAGGAAGAGCGAATAAATAAGTTTCATAGAATAACCTTCGCTAACACTTAAAAGGAGTTCGGGTGGTAAACTACTCACAACTCTCTTACTGATTGAGATTTGAATCTTGGTCTTCTTGATCTGAAATGGTTAATAAAAGGGTGAGCTACACTAACCCAGTAAGAATATCACACTAATCACAGATACGAAAAACTAAAGATTGATAAAAATTATAAAACAACTAATGAAGCCTTTAATTTGAGTATATTCATTTAATATAAAGAAAACCGTTTATTTCGTACTTACCATAATGAGTTTTTTAAAAACAACCTATGAAAACCTATATTTATACTACTTTTTATTTTCACGTATGAGAGAACAAGAGACGGTAACTTTCCTCTCTTACCTATTTACTGGTACCCCTAAGGGGTCCATATGGATGTCCTACTACTTGTGAATTAAATATCTAACTTAAATAATTAACTGGTTGTTCCCATACCCTGTTCGGTAATGGGCGCCAAACCTTCCATCACTTTAATACCCCGTTCAGTATGAGGGTAAACCATATCTCATAAACCTTTCCAGTAAGGGACTTTCCAGCCCCTTTCGACTGAGGTAATGTTCATGGTAGATTTTTCTGTGTACCGGACCCGTTCGACTTTTCAATGAGTACCCAGTAAGTCTTTCTGTAACATCCAACATTTATTCTTTATTTTTGTTTTTTTAAATATAATTATTATTTATTTAATTTAATTAAAAGGGATAAAAAAATTGATAAATGATTAAATTGAAAATAATTTTGGAAAAAAGAAGTGAAAATGAGGGTATTTTTAAAAGAAAAATCAGAAACTGGGAGTCAAAACATAATTTAAAAAAATTGTACTACGTCAGATACCCGGTTAGCAGCCCCGACCAACCAAGACGTGCCAGGTGGCAGAGGCACTGACGCAGGAGGCCATGCAGGGGGAGCCACATGGGCGATCTGCGTGCGCGCGATCGAACAGCTGAGGTCTGTTCCCGCATGCACGAATAGCTCAGATTGAATAGCGCACAGACGACCCAGATTGAATCGCGCACGGACGGTCCAAATTGAATCGTGCACGGACGACCCAGATTGAATCGCGATGAACGGCTCAGATTTACTCCTTATTTAATCGCGATCGGATGGTCCAGATCAAAAGTTGATGAGTATAAATAACCTCATCCGCACCCAAATCCTAACCTTAGCCACCAGAACCCCTCACCGGAGAAGACAACCTAGCCGCCGGGGAGCCGACCGCCGCCACCCGCCACCCATCGCCGCACTAGAGCAATTTCTGACCGCCAAACGAGGTAAAAATTTTACTCTTTGTTCAGCATTTAATTTTAAACGCACTCATGACTAAATCGGAGCAAACGGATCGGCCGATTGACCCAAAAACGCTGGTAAAGCCCGGCGACGCTATCGCGGGGTATTTCAAAAAATGCCTCCGATAAGGCCCTTCCTTATTCCCGTTCGATGTGATTTTTCTACCGTTGTGATCACAGTTTCCTTCTCTACAGGTTGACCGGAGCAAAACACCCAACCGTAACGTGAGCCGGAGGAGCCACCGCACCGGATAGCCCTGTCGCCGGTGAGTTTCAGTTTTTTACATTTTTTTGGGCCAACCGAGGGCCCTAAGTGTGTTTTCTCATAGGAACTTATGCAAATTTGGCTGAATTCGACCGAAAACGAAAAAAAACAGCCAACCAGAGGCAGATTGCCACTGCTTGCGGCGGTGCTGTCGCCGGAACATGGCGGAGCCCCTGTGCCGAATTTTTAAAATTGGCTTAGTAGGACCTGGGACTGATTTTTAAGTTTTTTTGGGACATTTGTAGGTACAATAACGCGTTTCAGTTTCCGAAGAAAAATTCAGGGAATCAAGGGACCGCCCGTAGGTACAGTAAACTATTTCTATCATGGATTTGAAGTTTGAATAAATAATAATACAGTATTTTGTACAAATTAAATAGATGTATATAATTAATTACGGATTGCTAATGGAGCCCGAATCGGACATTATTCTCTGTTGATTTCTATTGATTTATTTTACAGTTTAAAAGCATGATGGTATCTGGTTTAGGATTTTAAATACATGTATCACTGCCTTACTTGACCCCTGTGTGATTTTGGAATTTAAGATATGATTGCATTACCGGGTGCATATTCATTGTTTATGTGATTATGTTTGATTTGGTAACGGGGACTAAGGGAAAACAGGAAAGGGTATGATCAAATAAACTGATAAGAAAATAGCCTCACTAGATATCATGGGAGATGGTGGATGGATCGGGTTCATAGGGAACCCTATCGTGAACGTTGTTCTATACCGGATGGGGTATGGAGACTTGGTCATTTGGTGCTCATACCGGACGGGGTATGAGGACAACCCGTTTCACCCTCATACCGGACGTAGTATTGAGATTTAATGTGTTGACACTCATACTGGATAGGGTATGAGGACGGCTCTATGATTAAGATTGTTAAAGAAAATGGTTTACGTGTAGCAGAGACACCCCTATGAATCCCCATGGATACTAGTAGACTAGTGAAACGAAAAAAATTATGATCTAGTTGATTGTTAATGAATGTGAATTTATGATATATTCTATGTTGCTGATCGTGCATGAAGTTATGATCTGTATGATATTATTGCTTTTATAGTTTGTTTTCATAAATTCACAATGGTAAGTGAATGGTAAATGATTTTATGATTGATGAACTAATTTGCTAAATTTAGTGCTCTATTAGTTGTTTTGATTTTCTACCAATCTTTTTATTTGTGCTGGTGTTATAGTGTGATATCCTTACTTGGCTAGTATAGCTCATACTTTATCTAACCATTTCAGATCAAGAGGACCTGGTTCCAGAGCCCGGTCTGCAGGAAGATTGCGAGTAGATACTAAATACTTTCTATTTTCCATTATCTTTCGTATTTTTTGTGTTTCTTTCAGAGGATTCATTCCGTAATATTTGTTAGTACTTTTAAGTCATTGTGTAAGGGATGTAAATCTTAACCTTTTATTTCACTTCCGCACTTAAATTATTATATATTTCTTTTTGGATTTTCAGGGTCGTTACACTTTCACATAAAGATTCTCATAAAGCAAAACAACCAATAAATGCATACCAATACCTCATATTATATTTACAGATCAATTAGACTATATTTATGTAGACGATGTACCTTATCATAACAAAAGATCAAGTAACCAGGTAATTGAATAAACCAGATAACCAATAAAACCATTGAAACTATAAATTAAGAACATGCATAATATGATAACAAGCAAGTAGGATAGTACACAAAAATAAATAGAAAATCAGGACAATTGTGAACTAATCAGTTCCGACTCCACTAGTGACCTATAATTATTTTTAGAATTTTTTAAATTTTTACAAAATATAAAATTATATATCGTTAAGCCTTAATTTATCGTAACGAAAAATAGGGTGAGGGATCCTTATCCGAATTAGTTTTTCGAGACGTCGCATTGTCTACGACGCCTCTTACCGGGTACCAAATTTCTTGAATTTTTTTTGCGGAATCCAAAATACTCGTCACGTACCTAAAAATACTCCAATAATCCAAAATCGGTGTTCAAAACTTTTTCTGACCAATTTTGGATTTTTGGCACTGCGGTGCTGCTGTGTTTTAGCGGGTTCGATTCAACCTGGCTGGTTTTGACCGATTTTATATGCATTCATACGAAAAAATACGTTAGGGGGATCTCGATTGGCTGAAAAATTACAAAAAACCGAACCTAGCAGCATGGGGGTCTTTGGGTGCGGCGACTCCGCTCATCCTCTTTCGCGGTTGGGGTTCCTTCTTTGACTAACCTATACAAAAAAAGAACGGCGAACATAATGATCAAAACATCGCGTGAAATAGGAAGCGGGAAGGGGCTCATCAAAGGAATTTTTGAGTTTTAGCTGCAGCAGCTCCACTGAGTTTTGCCTGCGATTTTCGGCTCACCCATCATCCTTCTTGCTTTGATTTGACCATAGGAATGCTTGGAATCAAATTCCAAGCAGGCAGGGAGAAATTTTATCTTTTTTTGCGGTTGGCGGTGGCTCTAGTGCGACAGCGGTCGGCAGTCAGTCTACTTCTTCGGCGCCTGGTTTTTCTTCTCCATCGAAGGCTGACGGTCAGGGTTTGAGTTTTTATGTGACGTGAGGTATTTATACTCATCTTATGTCGATATGGACCGTTCATCGCGGTTGATCTCGTCCGTCCGATCGCGTTTAAAGAGAGAACGAATCTGAATCGTTCACGCGTGCAGGATCGAACTTGGGCTATCGGATCGCTGGGCATGTAGATCGTTCGTATAACACCGATGTCAGCGTATTTTGACACGTAGTGTGCTCCGGTTTGTTGGGATTGCTGACTGAGCCATCCCACGTGACCAAATTTTTTCTTTTTGCATTTTAACAATCTGTTTTTAATTTTTTTTTTCAAAAACACCATCCAAAATCAAATTTTCACATATCTTTCTCAAAATTATTTTCAATCTCATCCCCAATTTATTTTTTCTTAAAATTTTAATTAAATAAAAATAAAATAAAATAAATAATTATTTTAATAAAATAATTTAATAAGAAAAAATTATCCTGAGTCGCTTTTCGGGTCCGAGTATTATAAATTCAATAAGTTATTTTGATTTTATGGCATTGTCATGACCATAGTTACATTTACTTCAAATTTCAGTATATATATGTGTGTGTATGAGAATGAAATAAAATACGATATAACGTATAAATTTAACTATTACAATAATTATAATTTAATTTTATATTTAGTTAGAATTAAATCTTTTTACAAGTATAAATAAAATTAAACATTATGAAATTGAAAATACTATTAAAATCAATTTAATTAGATCTTAATATGTAAATTATAATCGAAATTAATGTATTAAATAAATAATAATGTGAAAATAAAATTGAGATTAAAATATAAACTAAATGGGTCGGCTGATGAGAGAAATGGGCCGGAGTCTTCATTTTGTCACTTATCAGCTACCTTGTTCCTGCAGAGAAATTCAGAAGCCTGCACATGAACGTGGGAAGAAGAAGGGGGAAAAGGAACTATGTGGACGATGCAGAGAGCAATTAAGAGATTCCATACAGCCGTGAATGCTCCACGCCTCACCAGATTTTCTCTCAACGCGCCTAAAAATGTAAGCTTTCCTGCCAGCTTCTTCTTATTCTTCGATGTTCAATACTCAAGCTCTCTCTCTCTCTCTCTCTCCACATATATATGTATATGTATATGTATATTATTGGAAGTTTCTTGACTTCCTCTTTGAGTTATGAATTGGATTTGACGGTATCCGTTTGATTTAAGCTCTATTTGGGATAAATTCAAGATATTGGAAAATTTATTTGTAGATTTACATTTAGTTTACACATTGAATTTATGATATCTCTAAATTTTTATAGAATTTCCCTAATTCAGAGGAAGAAAAATGTATTAGGATGACAACTTCCACTCTGAATTGCAATTGAAATCGAAACAAAGTATTTGAAATTCTATTAAAACTGAGCTAGTTTGGAATTCATTCTTCTGATTCCATAAAAAAAAAAAGAATTATAGATTTGTCCCAAACACAGTCTTGACTTCATTCTGAACGTTTGAATTTGATTTGTTAGAGGTGGCAATTGTGGGGCTTTTGAATCTAAATTGGAGGAGATTGAAACATGAGCATATTTTTGGTAGAGTATAAACAAGGTTACTTGTTATTCAAAGAAATCTAGAGCAAAACATGAAGGCTGTCTTTTTCTTCTATTAATTGATTGTTTGCCAAAAGAAGAGATTTCCTTGGTTACTTGGGTTTATCTGGTTTTATTCAAAGAAGTCTATAATTACCAAGATTTTTTAAGAAAGTTTAGCTACAGAATGCTCTTCATCATGGAGAATGATATATATCGATAGGTTGAAGCTTCCATATCTTTCTCATTTGTGACAGATGCTACTTTCAGAAGGCAGTAATAACTTTGACTATCTCCTTTTGTGAGTCTTCTTACCTCCAAGTCTTGGTTCTGATAGATTCGAAGTTGTGGGATTAATTGGGTATACGATGGTTGGTGGCTGTTTATTATGGAGAGAATACTTCTTTAGCTAAGCGGTTATCTACTCTTCTGTTAATGCTCAGTCTTGGTTCCAATAGATTTGAAGTTGTGGGATTAATTGGGTATGTTATGGTTGGTGACTGTTTATTATGGAGAGAATACTTCTTTAGCTAAGTGGTTATCTATTCTTCTGTTAAGACGACTCAGTTTTGGTCCTGATAGATTTGAAGTTGTGGGATTAATTGGGTATATTACAGGTTGGTGGTTGTTTATTATGGAGAGAATACTTCTTTACCAAAGTGGTTATCTATTCTTCTATTAGTACTCTCGGAAGCCTTTGCGGGCATAATGTGTAGTTTATTTTCTTATTAGTATTCTTTTACCAATCATAGATAATACCATAAAATTACCAAGAAATATGAGTTGACTGACTAAGTAATATTCTAAAAGGTTGTTTGCTTATGCTGGCACTGTTGTTGGGAATCGATGCATGCTTGTCAATTCCATGTTTGAAAAGCAAGGCTTAGTATATTCTTTACTCTTGGGACTCACTATGATGACCAGTTTTCAATTTTGCTTATCATTGAAATTTTCTTTTGAAGCCAGTTTACTTTCTTTTTGGGGAGGGGATAAGCCACTTTACTTTATAGCTTTATCTGTGATCTTATGTTTTTTCTTTTTTGAATATTTTGTTTCAGGTAGAGGTGGAATATGCAAATGGTAGCAAGTTTGTTTTGTCAGCTGAATTTTTGAGAATACACAGCCCTGCTGCTGATGGGAAGATTAGGTCAATTGGGGGTGAAAAGGTAAATTTCAAGAAACATATCTGTTTGCTCTATTAGACAATTTCTGTTCCTGTATTTATCTTGTTTAATGAAAACGTATCCATCGCAAACTAGAAAATGATATATAGGTGAACAAGGAGTCGGGTATTGTGTCCATTCACCGATAGGAGGTTCAATTTTCATGTCCAAGCTCCGCTTGTAACTGGTTTGCTGTTATGCTTTCTTAGTAGGTTGATGGTTAGAAAGAATTCTAACAGATGGCAAATTTCTTAAGGCGATAAGCAGAAGCGCAAAAAAATTACATAACAAAAAGCCAAAAAATTGTAAGGTATCAAAAGTAAAAAAGATAATGATTTTATGTAACAAAGCATCAAACTGCATGATGGGATTTATCTCTAAAGACTACAAGATTTAAATTGTTATAAGGTCAAATTACAAAGAATAAATGGTAATTTGACATTTCTTAATCAGGTGATATTCGGGCGGCGTCACGTTGGCATCATGTCTGCAGAACCTGTAGGAAACTATGGGGTAAGGTATTTCAGGCGAAATTTGATATTATATTTCTGTTACTACTGATGTTCTTCCCCATTTTTATTTTTCTTTTCCTAATAATGGTGTGTTTTTTTTTTTTCCTTTTCGGCTGCATGGTTCAGAATAGTTTTTGATGATTTGCATAAAACCGGAATCTATTCGTGGGACTATTTCTATCATCTTGGAACCAACAAGTTTGCTTTCATGAGAGATTACATAAGAACACTGGAAAAGCATGGACTCAGCCGGGATCCAACTAGAAAGAAATGATGTGAACTTGGATTCACTTGGATGATTCCTCACTTTGACATTGAGAAATGAACAACATACAAGATTCAATCTTGCGCTTGTTAATCTTTTGATCCTCTCAAAATTTTGGTAGGTTGTAGAATTCAGATTGGTGGCTAAGCGCCTATATTCTATGCTAAGAGGCTGTGGAGATCACGGATTCAAACTTTCAAATCTTGTCTTAAAGAGAAAAAAAAACACTCCCATCCTTACTATCAGAACACAAATGCTGGGTATTTAACGAAGGACTTTGTAGTTTAGCATGGTGAAGTGGCAGCCATGGGTCTGAATCCTTTGTGCTATGGATAATAAACATTTTTGCTTGTATTTTTGTGAAATTGAAGTGGTTGATTATTAATGATAAACCATCACATAGGTTTGAATTTAGTTTGCGTTCGAGGTACAAGTAGCCTGTCTCTTGAATGATGATAAATGATCAAATGGAAATCAGAGTCAAGGTCTGGTAAGGCTGAAACCATCAGGAATGTCATTATCATCATTGTCAACACTAACAAAAGCAGCAAAAAATTTGTCTCCAAATCAGTATAATGTGTTTTAAAGTACATTAACTGCCTATCTGTCAGTCACCTTAAAATTAAAGGTTCCAAGACAGGCAAATTTCTCATCACCGCATTCGTAAACTGAGTCCATAACATTCGATCAAAGAGAAGAGGCAAAAATTCTGGATTCCTCAACTTTTCTTTGGTTCCTCTACATTTCAAATAAAGAAACCGTGATCAAGGAGAAAAAGTTTGATCCTAATGGAAATCTCCCTTCTGTTCTTTATTTTTTGGCACTTTTCTCCCAGTTGAAATCGAGGGTTAAGTAGAACATTACAATGACTTTTTTTTTCGCCCACCTTGCGATATGCGCTTAAGCCCTTGTGTGCCTCTTTTTATTCCACTGATGAAAGAAAATTAAACAAACAGTCACTCAGATATGATTTGATAGGCACATTGAAACGAAGAAGATTACTGAAGAATGTTTACCTCTGGTACAGGTAAATAAAACCATAGAAAAGTGGCAGCAGCGATAGGATGAAAATCGAGAAAGCAATATACAATACACTTGTTCGCTTCTGCATGATATGAAGTGTCCCCCAAGATAAATAATTTAACAGCAAGATTAATCTACAGAAAGAACTTTCAAGATAAATTCAAATAAAAGGATACTAAATATAAGTTTAGCTCTCCAAAACTGATATGTATGCCTTTAACTTCAAATTGTTAGATACAGAGTTAACACCGACTTTTTCAAAAACTTAAGCTTATAACAAATAATCTGATTTATTATTTACACGTCAGAAGACTATCATGCAAGTCCACTATATGAAAAGCATGGATTAAGCATAAGCTTATCCACCTCCCTTATGTTAAAGTTAATTACTGGAATTTGGACAGTAATCAGGATTCAGAAACCAAACTTTTGACCCGATCTATACCATATTTGAGTTGATAGGAAAAGACCCGATCTATACATTAGCACTGACATTATATTGAACCTTTACCTTACTCTGTCTAGAGAAGGGTTTTTTGCGTCCGGAACAAGTGTGAGCCTTGCAGAACTGATGCATGAAGAGTTCTATCACATCAACGATAATCAGATCAGAAGCTAACATCACTAAAACCCGAGACTACATAATGAAGATTGTGCTTTAAGTGCAAGATGAAAAAAAGATCACCATGAAGACGGCTGGCTGAAAGACCCTCATTCACTGGAAAACAACTGTTAGCCAAACTCTGCATGGAGTTAACTAATTAATAGCATGAAAATATTGGAAAGGACAGTGGGGTAAGAAATCATTCGAAGGCCACCTCACACAGATGTTGATTTTTTGCGGCAGCTGCAGGATTGCATTTCGTCTTGCGTGGCATCAAGTTAATAGCGAGGTCACAATGCAATGCGCCACAGATATCCGCCAGACATCTACTTTGATTCTGGATTCAGGGAAAAGAAAAATTTCCATGCTTCAATTATCCTAGATTAGAACACAAGAAATACCTGGTTTTGAAACCAAGAGAGATGCAAGAATTTTAAAGAAGACATTTCTTGCACGATAAATTCTCGTTACCTCAAAAAGGCAAAACATCAAGGATATGAAATTAAATATAAAGTGGTAAGCTGCATACCAGATTCAGCATGTCATAGTGCCTGTTATCAAAATGCTTATCGAGATATTTCTCTTCGTAAAAACTTTTCTTACAGTATCCACATTGCCATTCATTTATATCTAGTTGGACCTTATGCTGTTCTTGGTCTCTATACAAATCATTGTCAGGGTGAAGCTTACATCCACTTGGAAGGTGATATCTTTCCTTTTCTACAAAGGGCATTAAATGCTGCAAAAGGATCCAGTCATCATTTTCTTCATGCTATATTTTGATTGAAACAATTTCAGATGGTAAGATTTGTACCTGCTGAATTATAGTCCATGCTGCTCTACTCCTTTCTCTGGAACAATGTACTTCATGAGCACTACCCGGATTCCTAATATCAAATCAAAGTCTCGAACAGTGATTAATAGAAGCTAATACTAGATATAAGAGTGCAAATTGGGTACAAACATTATATCATTTATGCTGCAAAGTGCCTTGAGCATTTTAAGTTAAATATATAATCAAAGCACATATTTCAGGAACTGAATAGCAAGGTGTAATTTTGTAAACAAAAAAAAGTGCTAGTTTAAAATAAAAATAAGACCCAGAAGCTTAAAAAATTACCTTGCTGCTTCGGATTCTTTATAATCCTGGAGCAAATAGCAAAAATAAAAGAGGTTAGGCAGAGTGATTACTGAACCTGGGGGGGATTAGGGAACCATGCAGAATATGCCTCGCAGAGAATGAAGGGATCAACATCCAGTGTCTTTTGAAAGTGCAAAAGTCTAGATACAAATAAAGAGACATTTCTTAAATCTGGAGGACCAAGAAGCACCCAGATCACTGGGGCAAAGATAAGGAAACTAAATTCCGCAGGAAAAGCCAGCACCTATAATTGGAACATCAATCAATTAACAACACCACAAGTAGTTATACAGCACTCTGGCCATAAGAAAATCAATAATCTACACAGCTTAAATCTCCAATTTAATGCGAAATTGAGTCGAGCTGCATATGTAGCAGTCCATGGCTCTAGAAGGTAGTTCTATATATGCATGGACTGCCAAATATGCAGATTTCCCTTAAGTAGCTTCTCATCCACTCCTAAGATCAGCTCCTTATTCTCATTGACACATCACAAGTTCTGGATCCACTACAATACTGACTACTTCCTCATTCTTCAAGTATAATTCCTCGCCCGAATTTTTAATTCTTGAACCATGGAACTTGCTCCTTTCAACTATGGTGGGTTTAGTCATCTTTCCTAGGCTCCTTGCAAACTGTAGCTCCAACATCACCATTACTCTCTATTTCTTCCCTGCTTTTATAAACCCGTTATCCCCCTTGTATATTAGTTTCTTTTGTTTTTCACTTTTCTATTCTTAAACACTTCAAACTTAAAGCATTTCAGTGTTTCTTAGAACCCAAATCTGTAATGTCAACATGTCCAACGGTGTGCAAGTTGTGGACCATGGTTTATGAGCTACTATGTACCAGATAGGTGACGGCAAACACGGTGAGGGAAGAGAACGGACGTGGAGGGGCATTAGGAGTTGGAGTAAATATGCAGACTTGATGCTGCTCACTATTTTTTGGACAATGTGAAAGGAGAGGAACAAGAGGACTTTTGATAGAGTGGATAATGTGAATGAGTTTGATGTCCTGAAAAACAGATAGTTCCAGACCTTAGTTTTTTCTTATTGGGTCATTCTCCACAGGCAATGGAGAATTTATGGGACCTTTTTAACAAGTTAATGGTTTTGTAAATTTTTTTGTACATGGATTGACACCCCATTGGTGCCCACAGTAATATACTATGTTATACTTTTTATTTCAAAAAAAAAAAATTTGTAATATCAACAACTCAGATTACACACTTCATATCGTTCTTCAATACCCTAATCACTGCTCACTGTTCTTCCTCTTACCATGTCTCTCATCTGTAAATTTTCCTTACCCTTCCTTCTCAAATCATTTCCCTTCGGACCCAATCACAACCCATCAAGCAAATCTCCAACAAATTCCTCCACATGAACTTGCCTACAAACTTCTCAAGGCCCATATCTTCCAACAATCTCCACCTTGTTTTCAAAACCAATTTACAGTAGGATTGTATGCGGAAAACGAGGGTTTCTGTCTTTTTGTGGGTCATCTTCTTTTTTCAGCTTTACAGTTTCAGCGTTGGTTATGGCTTTCTTTATGCCGAATTCATTGTGCCATCTGTACTAATCTCAATCAACGGGGTTGGTGTGATGATAAGCATGAAAATTCTCACTACTTTTTTTTTGGTGGGGTTGTCGTTTTTGAAGAGGATACATATACGTATATACAACATAATGCAGAAGTATGAAATGTTGCCAGGGCGGACAGATAGATACAATCTACAAACTACACTTATATATACATAAGAGTGACATAAAAATATGAAACTCGTCCATGGGAAGAGGAATGTTAATACCTGGTGGTCTTGAAGAGGAGGAAAAATGGAAGATGAGACCTTCCAAGAAGAATCCAGAGCAATCAAGACGCAGAGAAGCAGACAAGAGATCCGGTTGGATCTCAATGCCATATTCTTCTACCCAGTAGAAAACGTAAAGAGGGTTTTCGCCTAGAAAGAAAAGGGCTAAGAGGGAGACTGACTCGCTCGTTCGTGTAACTCAACAGCCCAACTCACTGAGTCACCATTAATGAGCAATCACAGGACTCCACGTCACACTAACTCCAAGCCGACTTGTTGGGTCCCCTAGTAAATACTTATACACACGTGTTTAGACGCCAAAGCAGCTACCTTTTATAGCGTCGGAGAGAGAGAGAGAGAATAGAGAGGGAAACAAGATATAGAGACAGAAACAGAAACAGAGTTGTTCGATCGAGTCTTCGTGTGTGTATATCTTTCAGTGATACCCTTTTGGCATTTTCACTATTCAAAACCACCAATTTTCCTTTTCCCTCACCTGCCATCGGTAGAAAATTCGTACCTTTTGATTATTTAATATTTCACTCTGGGTTAGGGAAAGAAAATTCTTATTTTATTAATGCACTTCGTTGTCACTACTACACCTATACAGAGCAGGTATATATACAGAGAGACGAAGAATTTCAATGGGTTGACTTGGTTTTTGTTGAAGAATTGGCTGAACTCATGAAAATTGGATCTTTTCCATTTCCAATCTGGTCTTGGATTTGAGCTGCAATGGCTAAAGTCTTCCTTTTTGTGGTGCTCTATGGCTTGTGGGTTGGCAGCGGGTTGGGTGAGGAAACGGATCAAAAGGCTCCATACAGGATCCACACGCTGTTCTCAGTGGAGTGCCAGAACTATTTCGATTGGCAAACGGTAGGATTGATGCACAGCTTCAAGAAAGCCCGTCAACCCGGACCCATAACCCGACTCCTCAGCTGTACGGACGAGGAGAAGAAGAATTATAGAGGCATGAATCTGGCTCCTACTTTTGAGGTGCCATCCATGAGTAGACACCCAAGAACAGGCGACTGGTAATCTGCTTCTCCCTCTCTTCCTTTTTACTATGTGTTACATTAAAAAAAACTCAGTTGTTTCCCTTATTCTTAATTTTTTGCCTTATTTGTTAGAAGGATTTTACTTTTAAGCTTACTAGAAATGTTTGCTTCTCCTGTTTGAGATATTGTATTTGGTTACTTAAAAATATATACTTTGGCAGGACTGATCACCATTGTATGTTTGGGGATTCATTTACTTCAATTTTCAAGTGTAAAATGGTTATAAAATCTAATATTCAGTGTACACAAAGCTTACAAAGAAGTATTATAAATAGGTGAAGACAATGAATCTAGAAATGCTGTAATAGATAGCACAATGGACGCTTAAAACAACAAAAGATGGGTTTTTGTCTTGTTTTTATGGCATTTGTAAGGAAAAGTGTTATAAGATGTCTTATTTCATGGCATTTTCACAACTTTCGACAGAGCGGTTTGCAGTTGCTATTTATAAGTATTTTACACCGGAGCGGTTTGCAATTGCTATTTATAAGTATTTTACCCCCGGAACTGACATCAATTGTTGCTTTGTCATGTTTTAGTGTATTGGAGTTTGTATTTGAGAGAGAATAACACACTATAGTTTCTAGAATTCTTCTGAAGAGAATCTGGACTCGTATAGGTAAGATTTGCCAAACCATGAAAGAGTTTTGCATCTTTTACTTTTTTGCTTTGATGCACTTAATTTTTCTATCTCACACAACAAAGAAGATTTCAGTTAGAGCATACCTTTTTTGTGGGTATCGTAGTTTATTTGGTTTTAGAGGATATGCTTTTCTTACTTACTGTAAGCTTTCACGAATCATACGCATTGTTTGTATTGCTATAGTCATCATGATTCTTAATTTTTTTTTTTTTTTTTGTGGGTGCGCTTTTTCCTCATAGTTTCAGTTAACAATGATCCAGCTTTATGTTTTTCTTTAAAGAAACTACTGAATATCTTTCGACTTTTCCTTTCCCCGGAGATTATTATAGTGGAGGTAAGAACAAACAACAGTGAAAGCTTATATCTTGTATCAACAGGTACCCTGCAATTAATAAACCTGCTGGAGTACTCCACTGGCTTCAACACAGTAAAGATGCAGAAAATGTTGATTGGGTTGTTATTCTGGATGCTGACATGATCATCCGAGGTCCTATCATTCCTTGGGAACTTGGTACAGAGAAAGGCAGACCTGTGTCAGCATTATATGGGTATTAATCTTTATTTTCTAAATTCAAGTTATTCTGAGTTTAAAGTATGATTTTTAATTCCTCTGAGACTTATGATTTGGGAAGAATTGGGTACTTGGGAAACTATGTTTGATGTGAGGGAAAGGGAGAGGAGGTTATCTACAACTTCTATACTCTATTTGGCTAGATGTTAGGAGATGATAATGGAAATATGGAGGAAAAATATTTGGAGTTTTTCCTTTTTCAAATGGATTAACTAGAGTTTCCTCCCAAAACAAACGAGATTGAGAGCAAAGTTTTGAGTGGTAACACTTTGAAAAACTCAGCTGTAAGGTAAAAGTTTCCAATTAAGGGAAGGAGATTAAGAAAAATGAAAAATGAAAAATCTTCTCATCCTTCCGATATGTTCCCTGCCTTCTATTTCTTTAAAGGACTAGTAACAGAAAGATCCGAAAGGAAAGAGTTCTTCCACCTCTCTAACCTCTTTGGTTATGAAAAGTTTGGACTTATTAAGAGAGAATCCAATGGTCTCCTTATTTATATGAACTTTCCGTTGTCTAAGGAACAAAAGAAATAGAAACAAAACTGAAAACAAACTCGTAAAAACTAAACAGATAACTGAATCTTTCATCTGTCCCATATGCCAATTGATTCTTTTTTTTTTCCACAAATGTTTAAAGTACTAACACAAGCACTAGCTGCCATTTTTTTTTAGCAAAAATAATTGTAGAAAATGTAGAAGATAGCTGTTATTCTAGAAAGAAAATAGTTGTCATCTCTTTTGTCCTTTCTTTTTTGTGTACCGTAGAAAGGAGAATAACAGAATTGGTGGTGTGTCACCTACACCAATTCTGAATATTCTCTTAACCTACAATATCTGGCTCTCCAGCAGAAAAGTTGTTATTTTTTTTTTTGTATAAATATGCTCCTTTGGAGCTAGAAAATTGTGGAGAAATATAGAAGAAAAACTTCTCTCAAAATAGCTTCATAATTTCTTAATTGTATCAGAGCTCAATCCCTATTGAAACACTATCTTTTTGGGCCTTGTTCCTCCTAATGTAGACACGTAACTCCTTTGTTGTAGGTAATGTACTTTCTGGTTTGGGCTCATTTTGTGTGGGTGATATTTGGTGTGTGGACAAGTGGTGAAGAAATGATAGCTTCCCAAATGTGACATTCCTGAGTATGTTTTTCTCCCTGAATGTCGTTTTTGGGATAAAATAGTTTATCTTCAAAAAAGATGACATCCATAGTGTGATAGAACTGACGAGTATTCGGAAAGAAGCATTTGTATCCTTTTTGATGAGGAGAATAATCCATAAAAAGGCACTAAAGGGCTTTAGGATCAAGTTTACCCCAAAGGTGTGAGTGGATATGAACATATGAGGAGCAACCAAAGACCTTTAGTGGTAAGGAATATAGGATACAGGAATGTGGAAAAGATTCTGAGAGAAGATTAAATGGGGTTTGGTACTTGAGGGCTCGGGAAGACATTCTGTTTATCAAGTAAGTAGTTGTGAGTATGGCTTCCCCCCAAAATTGTTTTGGTACATTCATAGCAAACATAATGAACCTGGTGGCTTACAGAATGTGTCTATTTTTTCTCTCAGCAATACCATTCTTCTAAAGGGAATAGACGCAGAACTCTGATGAATTATATCATTTTCAATAGTTCTACTATTAAGGGTTGATGTGAAGTACTCACAAGCATTATCAGATCTTAACACTTGTATTATTGTGTTAAATTGGGTTTTGATCATTTTGTGAAATATTTGAAATGTAGCTCCCACTTCTGACTTCCTTTTCAGAGTAGTGCAGAAAAGCATTATCACGTAGTAGTGCAGAATCTGAATTCAGAACCCTTGCCCATGGTATATGTGAAGGTGTCTGGTTAAAGAGAGTATTGCAAGAGCTAAAGCTGACTCCAGAAGTGCTCATAAAAGTATGGTATAATAATCAGTCAATTATCCAAATGACAAAGAATCCAGTCCATCATGATAGGACAAAGCATGTGGAAATAGACCGGCATTTCATCAGAGAGAAGATCGAAAACAGTGTTATAGATATCATTCATGTTCCCACAAATTGACAAGTTGCTGATATACTAACCAAATCTCTTCCTAAACATGTATTTGAAAATATTGTATCCAATCTAGATTTACACAACATCTATGTAAACTTAGATTGAGGGGGAGTGTAGAAAATGTTGAAGATAGCTCTTATTCTAGAAGGAAAACAACTGTCATCTTCTTTGTTATTTCTTGTGTACCGTAGTAAGGAGAATAACAGAATTGGTAGTGTGTCACCTACACCAATTTTGAATATTCCTTTAACCCACAAAATCTGGTTCTCCTGCAAAAAAGTTGATTTTTTTTTTTGTGTATAAATATGCGCCTTTGGAGCTAGAAAATTGTAGAGAAATATAGAAGAAAAACTTCTCTCAAAATAACTTCATAATTTCTTCAATAATGATTTGGTCTTTGTATTATTTACTTATGTTCAAATTAGTCTCTATTTTATTTTTCTGTCAAATTAGTCTCTGTACTTTTGAAAAACTTTTAATTTAGTTCCTCCCCTTAACACAAGCTAACACCGTTAGTTTTGGATGCCACATGTCATATTTATTGACAACACGAGCCAACCTTCTGAGTATTAGTTGAATGTCACGTGATCTAATTTGGTTCCAACAAGCTCCATTCCCAAACTCTTAGTCCTCTCTCCCTCACTGTCTTTCTCACTCCATAGTAGATCAAGCCACAGAGTTTTGAGTGATTGTGGCATGGTGATCCAAGATTGACTCCTGGATGCTGAGAAGTCCTCCCCGGAAATTGTGGGGTCGTTGAGTCCAGCTGTGCCTGCACTTGTACTTGTACTTGTGAATGCGTGTGAAGATGAGGAGGAAGGAAGCTGTTGTTTCATATGGCTGAATGCCACATTTTCCAGGAAGAGGACTCCATCATGAATTGTGTTGGGTATATGAGCATCGTGCCATGAGTGTGTCTGGATGTGCGAAGGGTGTGAGCAGGCCCCAGCAGCAGTCACCTGCAAGGCCAACACGACTGTTTTCCCTGTCACCTGCAATGCTGACATCCACTCTGCTAAACCCCTTGCTTGCTGCCACGAGTGTGTCCTAGTTAAACCTTTCTTCAACAGAGCCAAAAAAAATAAATTTGGTTATTTGCAGATGAAGGGGAGCATGGGAGGAGAAGGAGGAAGAAGAAGAAGGTGGCCTCGGATTTAGACTGATCCAAATTAAAAGGAATGTCACGTCAACTACTACGTGACATTTAACATGACATTCAACTTACAATTGAACCAATAAAAAAGTACCACATATTAAATAAATATGATACGTGGAAGGATAAGCTAATGATGTTAGTTTATATAAAAGGGAGGGACTAAAAAAAAATTTCAAAAGTGAAGAGACTAATTTGACCAACAAATGAGGCATAGACTAATTTGAACAAACGTCAAAATACATAGTTTGACATTTTATTTTTATTATGGATCATAACATTCTCCTTTCCTTGATAATAAGAACAGAACATAAAGCTATAAATCAGGATGTGAATGTCTACTTCAACAATTTTCTCTCTTGATAATGAGAACAGAACATAGAGCTACAAATCAGGATGGTGAATGTCTATATCAACAATCAAACGCGAAAATGACCATATACCAGAATATAGAACAACAATCTTTTGAATTTACGATGCTGTATCATAACTCTGTTTGATACTTTCAAGAACCAAGTCATTTATCGGGAACAGCTATCAGGAACCTTTTTGTTGCTAGCGGTGGATGCATATGGGTTTTACCTTCCTGTGATCTTCGGCCACTTTTAAGCTTATGGTTATTAATATGCATCGATGTAATTGCTTCTGTAGGTACTTGATTGGATGTGATAATATTTTGGCTCAGTTGCATACCAAGCATCCAGAACTCTGTGACAAGGTTGGTGGGCTTTTAGCCATGCACATAGATGATCTTCGAGCCTTGGCACCTTTATGGCTTTCAAAGACTGAAGAAGTGCGTGAAGATAGAGCTCACTGGGCGACCAATATAACTGGAGATATATATGGTACAGGGTGGATTAGCGAGATGTATGGATACTCATTTGGTGCAGCAGAAGTAAGTAGTTCTTTTTTAATCTATGAAAACATCTGTTCTTGTTTTCTTTTTAATATGCTTGATAATTTTATTTTCATTTATCGTGCTGGTTTTGTTTTTGTATTACAGGTTGGTCTCCAGCATAAGATAAATGATAACTTGATGATCTACCCAGGCTATACCCCGAGAAGAGGATTTGAGCCAGTTCTTCTTCATTATGGCTTGCCATTTAGTGTTGGGAATTGGTCTTTCAGTAAACTAGCTCACCATGAAGATGACATTGTTTACGACTGTGGCCGGCTTTTTCCTGAGCCTCCTTATCCTAAAGAGGTATGTAAGCTCGCTAAGTAATGATAAGTCTGGTAATGAAACTCTTTATAGGGATGTGAGCCTACTCATACACTGTTAACATGGGATATTCTTTCCCATTTTTGATACGACTGAAGTAGGGCATGACTGTTATGATTTAGATAGGTCTTAATGCGCAATGAATAATGAAATATGCTTGAAAAGAAGTTTATCAAGACACGGTTTGAGATAAGATTTGAAAGTAAAAAGAAAATATTAAACATTTAGGCATTAACTAGATGATGGCAAGATCGATGAGAGATGAAATTTGGGCGTGGAAGGGTGTGAGAGGAAGAAGGAAACGAGTGGACTTAATACCTTTTACCATTGTTTGGATTGTGTAGAATGAGGGGAACAAAAGATTTTGATGGGGTTGACAATGTGGATAGTTCTTTCAACTTTTGATTTTTAGTTATTGGGTCATTTTCTTTATTCAATGAAGGATTTAGGAAATTTTTTTGACATTTTGATTGGCTTGTAAATTTTTGTACATGGGTGGCCACCCTCTTAGTGCCAATATCGATATATACCTTACCCTTTATATTTCAAAAAAAAAACATTAAACATTTTAATTCTGAAGTTCGTAATGTGGATATTTAAGAATCTTTCTTTGAACAGGTGAGATTAATGGAATCTGATCCAGACAAAAGGAGAGCTCTATTTTTAAATTTAGAGTGCATTAACACTCTGAACGAGGGCCTTCTATTGCAACATGCAGCAAATGGATGTCCGAAACCAAAGTGGTCGAAATATTTAAGCTTTTTAAAGAGTACAACTTTTGCTGAACTAACACGGCCAAAATATTTGGCTCCTGGTAGTGGACAGAACCTGGAAACTAGAGAAAAGCCAGACATTGTTGAACCCAGAGGATCACATCCCAAAATTCACACCATATTTTCTACGGAATGTACCTCTTACTTTGATTGGCAAACTGTAGGACTTATGCACAGTTTCCGCTTAAGTGGCCAGCCTGGAAATATTACTCGCCTTCTCAGTTGTACAGATGAAGACTTGAGGCAATATAGAGGTCACAATCTGGCACCGACACATTATGTTCCTTCCATGAGTCGGCATCCCTTAACAGGCGACTGGTAATTCTGCTTTCTTCATAAAATTTGATTGGCTGTGAGCCTGAGAAATTGATGAAAAAATTTATCTCGTTCAGATATTTTGGTACAAAATTTCTTTATATTTTGACCACCTAGAAAAAAACCTCCTAATACAAGAGAAAAAATTGGACAAAAGTGATTGCCATGAAGTTCCCCTATCTTTAATCACTCTTTTCTTCCATTTCAGGTACCCAGCAATCAATAAGCCTGTTGCAGTTGTTCACTGGCTTAATCATGCAAATATTGATGCAGAATTCATAGTTATTCTCGATGCTGACATGATCTTGCGAGGCCCAATTACACCATGGGAGTTCAAAGCAGCACGTGGCAAGCCAGTTTCAACTCCCTATGAGTAAGAACTTCCGTGATCTTTCTTTCTTTAATGGTTGAAACTGTGTATGCTGGTGGATATCTGTGTGCATATGTGTTTGATGTATTTACATAAAGAAGTGATAGATCCTGCCTTCGTTCTACTAACGTAAATATACATTGTAGCTATCTTATTGGCTGCGACAATGAACTTGCAAGACTTCACACTCGCAATCCTGATGCTTGTGACAAGGTTGGGGGTGTTATCATCATGCATATAGATGACCTGCGGAAATTTGCTCTGCTATGGTTGCATAAAACTGAGGAAGTCCGGGCTGACACAGCTCATTATGCCACAAATATCACTGGTGATATATATGAATCCGGGTGGATTAGTGAAATGTATGGCTACTCATTTGGTGCAGCTGAGGTACTCTACTTTTAAAAGACTTTCATAGTAAAAGTAATTGGTCTATGTATATTCTGCATTCCCATGCATCGGATTGTTGAGAAAATATCGTTATTTGCTTGGAAAATATTGCTTTCATTTACACTAATTTTCTGCTGCCATGCAGCTAAAATTGCGGCACACCATAAATAGGGAGATACTAATATATCCCGGGTATGTTCCCGAGCCTGGTGTCAATTATAGAGTTTTCCACTATGGTTTGGAATTCAAAGTTGGTGATTGGAGCTTCGATAAGGCAAAATGGAGAACTGTCGACGTGGTAAACAAATGCTGGGCTAAGTTTCCCGACCCACCTGACCCTTCAACACTGGATAAGAGTAAAGATGACACACTACAGCGAGACCTGCTTAGCATAGAATGTGCAAAGACACTGAACGAAGCATTACTTTTGCATCACAAGAAGAACTGTCCCGATCCCAATTCCTTATCCACCTCAAATTTGGATAAGACAGACAACTTTCCTGGTTCCAGGAAATTTGTTAGGGCTTATGGAGGTAACAATGCTGGAAGAAGCAATCCTACTGTAAATCACACTCGGGAATCAACTCTTCCTCCTGTAACAGACAGCCTGTTTAGTTCTCTGAGGATTTGGATTATTGTTTTATGGGTTGTATCCGGCTTGGGTTTCTTCGTGGTAATGTTAGTGGTGTTTTCAGGTCGTAGGAATAAGGGAACGAGAGGTAAAAGTTACAGAAATAAGAAAAGATCCTATACAAATTTCGTGGACACAAATGGCCATGATAGGCATCCCCGGAGTGCTGAATCATCTTTATGACATTGAAACTTGTAGAAGAAGAAGAAAGTACAAATGCTCATGGTGATTGGATTTACAGAGATTGATACCTGAACATAGATTTAAATGATTTGGAAAATGGAAATCATTGCATTATTCACCTGGATAGTGACTACTCTGAACTTCAGATGCTTCTCTGCTCAGAATTCAGTTTCAGAAACCTATAGAATCAGCTTTAAGAATGCTTTGAACTGACATATTCACAGGCAAAGTTCAAACGAGTTAAAAGAAGAAAAGGGTCTACTAGCAGAAGAAACCATACTAGCTAGCACAAAAAAGGGAAAAAGAACAGATGTTTTTTTTAATGTTGTAACTGTAACTTTGGTCTGTTTAACTTTTTTCTTAAGGCGATGTAAAAGTGAAAGCTTGGAGGAAAATTTTTCTCTGTTCTTTCAGTTTTCATTTGTGATTTTTCAGTCCCTCTTCTTGATTCTTATACAGTGAAAGTTGCCACTCAAAAATTGCTTATAAATTACTTGACTTTGTCCCTCTTCTAGTTAGTTAGTTTGAAGTCAATAATAATACAAACTCAACTTGGAAGCTAAAGTAGCCAAGTGCAAAATCTCTCTCTCTCTCTCTCTCTCTCTCACTTCAATTCTCTCTTTTTTCGAGAAAATACATTTTTCGTTAATTATATGATACGTATACAATACTATAATATAATTTTTTAATAAAAACACATAGAAATACATAATTCTTATTTTACGGACAATGTTGCTCTAATATTATTAGTAAAAATCAAAACTTTTTTCGTAGAATGAATTATGTCTCGAGATATATTCTTTGGATGAATTATTTGTTGCTTGGGATATGTATGATAGAGATTTATTGCTTAACACAACAATAAAATGATTTTCTTTTGCACCAAGAATGATCAAAAGAACCAAACTTGATGAATAGAAATTGAGATTACTTACAATCTTTGATCTTTGCCAACTTAACTTACACATATTGATGGTTTAACTACTGGCTGTTCAACCTCATACATCTCTGCAATCCAACAAAAGTTATAATTATTTATGGTAAATAATGCACAAAATAATTATAATTTAACATAACTTATATTTTATTTATTGAATTATTAAAACCCATTTGTGAGAAAAGTTAAAAAATTAATTTTGTATGCAACTAAAATAATACATTCAAATTATAGAATTTAAAATGTGTTGCTTCAAATCAACATGAATTTCATATAAGTTAATTGTATGAATTATTTTTTTGTCTTTTAATTGAATTAGTGTAACTTATAAATAAAATCTATAAAATTTTGGATTTATTTCAAATGTAATTTTAAGATATAGAATTTTATATAGCATTTTGGATTAAAAATTCTCCAAAGAATGCACTTTTAATAGTGATTTTAATAATTTATTGCACTAATTTATTATGTTAAATTAGATTATAATTTTTTCAAATTAATAGACTTGAGTTTCAATTAAATTTAAAACTAATTAATTTCTGTAATTTACCCTAAAATTTATTTTATAATTAAATATGCATAATAATTATTGAGATAATCCAAAAATAATAATAAATAAACCTAAATTATTATTTAATTTGGTTGACAAGTAGATGGCAGATTAATAATAATAATAATAATAATAATAATAATAATAATTCACAAACTAAGCTAACGGTTCTTTAAAATTCAAATCTTTCCCAACAAATATGAACGTTGAAGGGATCTATTGATTTCCCCCACGTGGGTCCCACTCCAAGCTCAAAATAAATTTGTCAGCTTTTTCCAAGCATGGTTTTTTAAGCCGACTCCACTTGCCATAATAATATATAAATAAAAATTCCACTTCCACTTTTTCTCCATTTTCCCTCACCTGATCTCTTCAGCTTTTTCCTCCAAACAGCAACAACAATGGACCCCAAACCCATTTGAATTTCAAATTTAAATCCTTTCTTCAGATTTTTCCTTTTTTTCTTTCAAAAGACCCAAAAAAACAGGATAAAAAATTATTATAAGAGTTAAAAAGAGTTTGGATCATTTGAGGTTTGAAATTCTTTTGACAATGGGAGAATCTGCTTGTCTCATGCAGCCATTCTCTTATGCTGCAGGCATTCCCAATGAAGATCAAGTTCAAGAGGTCAGTCTGTCTGTTCATGTTTCCTGCGTTATGGGTTCTTAAATTTTGTCTCCTTTTTTATATTTTTATTTTCAAGTTTCAAACTTTTTTTATCAATAATGAGTGTTGGAGTTGTTTGCTTACTGGGTTTTTCTGTTTTTCTGGTTTTTATGTCACTTTGAGCTGAAATGTGATGGATATAGTCTTAGTCAATCGCACGTCATGGCTTGGTATCCTCGAAGTGAATCACTCTCCTCCCAGATAATTGGATGCATCACTTTCCTAGAAAATTGGACGTGTTTTTACCAGTAACCAAACGGATTTTTCTTGAAAAATGCATGTAGTTTTTGGCTATGAAGTTGTTTCATGACATGAAATTATTGTGAGTGGCAAGAATGAGTCTATAATACCCAGACGATCGGATCTATTGGTCTTCTTTTAGCACTTATAAGATCACTTATAAGATTAACCAAACAAGATTTTCTTAGATTTGGGCCATAAAGTTGCTTCATAATAGGAAAACATTTATTGATTTATTTTGATTGGCAAGAATGGTATAATACCCAGAAAATTGAATTTGTTGGTTTTAGTTCAGCACTTTTGCTAATAACCAAAAAGACTTTTCTTAGTTTTTGGCTATAAAATTACTTAATAATGGGGAAAAAAGATTGATTTATCGTGATTGGCTTGATGGGTATGAATATAATCCCAAGAAAATTGGATGTGTTATCTTAATTTGTGAATCTTGCTTAGAAGCTGTTTGCTAGTAACCAAATGATTATGTGCTACTACTGAAGCTGTTTGCTTAGTGGGTTCTTTTTATAATTCCTTTTTCATGGCACTTTTGAGCTGAAGATGGAGGAAAAATATAATTCTGAAAGGGTATGAGCTTAGTTATTTTAGGTCATGGTTCAATATCCAGAAAATGAATTACTTCACAGAAAATTGGATGTGTTCTAGCATATAATTGACTTTTTTACAAGTAAACAGACTGTTGTTAAAAAGAAGTGATTTTTGCTTAGAAAGCTGCTTCATTATATGAAATTATTGTGAGTGGCAAGAATGGCTGATAATACCCAGAAAATTGGATCTGTTGATCACAATTTGGTAATGTTGCTAGGAATTAAACATGATTGTTCTACAAAAGAAGTATATTATGAGAATTAATTAGCTTATTGTGAATGGAAAGATGGGCATGGCCCAGAAACTTCTCTGTCTTGGTTTTAATTAGGCAATTTTCGTACTTACCAAACAAGACTGTAAATTGTTCTTTCACAAATATATAGGTTTTTGGCTATAAAGATTTAATTGTGAAGATAGGCATAATAATGAGAAAACTCTGCTTACTGTGAGCTTTTTTTGGCTTTTTTTTTAACTTTGATGGGGCTCATGTAGTATGACATTATAGAACATTGTGTCATCTAAAAGAAGGGTATAATACCCAGAAAATTGGATGTTTTGAATTCTTACGCTATGTTTGAAATAAAAATTTTTTGGAATCCATTTGCAAATTCATATTTAAATCTTTTCATATTGAATTCGATGAGGAATTTGACCAATCTTAAATATGAAATTTACAATTTATTGTTTCCAATACTGATGAAATTTTATATAAATCAATTTTGATCATTTTAAAGACTATTTTGGTTAGACTATGTGCAGATTTGCAAGTGAATTCCATAAAAATTCTGAATTGATTTTGAAAAGAATCTTAATTTAGTACTCTTACTGGTGACCAAGCAAGATTTTTCTTGGGGAGAATGAAGTTTCTTGCTATGAAACTTGCTTCATACTATGAAAAATAATTGATTTATTGTGAGCGGCAAGATGGTTATGATTTAGTAAGGTGACTGAACTTGATGTAGGTTTGTAAGTACTACAACCGTGAAACACTGTGACAGTATCTGCTTGTTTTGCAGGGTAACCCAATTCATGCTCTTGGGCAGTCAATTTCATTTGGGAGGTTCATGTCAGAGTCTCTAGCTTGGGAAAAATGGTCAACCTTTTCATCACATAACAGATATGTTGAAGAAGCTGAGAGGTATTCTCGCCCTGGATCAGTTGCCCAGAAGAAAGCTTTCTTTGAAGAACATTACAAGAAAGTTGCAGCTGCTAGAAAGGCAGCAGCTTTACTCGAGCAAGCAAATGGTACCTCAAATATTGCTCTTGATCAGTCAGAATCTGAAGGCAGAGATCATGACATGGTAACTCAAGATCCACAAATGCTCAGTGTAACTTCCCAAGAATGCGAAGTCAGAGACCATGACATGGTAGCTCAAGATTCACAGATGCTCAGTATAACTTCTCAAGAACCTGTCAATGAACAAGAAGAAGTTACGGATCTAAACAATGAGGAAAGTTCGGTTGTTGAATCTAATGGATTAAGCTCGAATTCAAAGATAAAAGTGTTGGAGAATGACAAGCTTAAAGAAGCTGATCAAGTCACTGAACAGAAAGTTCTGGTGGAAAATTCCATGAGAGTGGACTTGTTGAACAAGCTTGGTGCTAGTAATGGTAATGAAGTCAGAGATATGGAGCTTAGTGGACCAGTACAGAAGGAAAATTATGTCAAGATTGAATCACCAAAGAAACTTGGGCTTGTTGACAAGGAAAAGGAGGTTAAGGAATCTAAGCTTGGTAGAATGGAACAGATGGAGAAACCTCTAGCTATGGTAATCATCTGAATTCATCTTTGATACTTGTTTTCAGGTTTTCCTCATGAAATAAGTTGATAAGATGACTTAATTTATTATTTATACGTTGATAGTCTTGCTATTATTCTTTCATGGCATTTCTGTGCTGACTTGGTACCAAATCAAGTTACCATGACTCTTACTCCTTGACTGTTAGGTTTGCTAAAAACATCTCTGAGATTTTTGTAACAAATCCAAAAGGTCATTAAGCATAAATGACAGAAGTTACATTACTGAGTCACCATAAATTTTTTCGTGCAATTCATACTGTTGTTACTCGTGTTCATGTTGGTGTTATGGTGTGATGACAATACAGCATGATTCTAAGACTGCCCAAGATTGTTCATTGTCAACAAGCAAGAAAAGACCGACATTTTCTTCCTCAAAGTCATCAAGTTATGGAAGAGGTTCCAAAGTGTCATCTTCACCAGTTAAACCCACAGCTCCAGTTCATTTCAAGAATGAAAACGATGCTACTCCAATCGCCAAGAAATCAACCATAGATTCAGCTCCAGTTCATTTGAAGAAGGAAAACAATGCTACTCCAATCACCAAGAAATCAGCCATGGATACAGTGGATAAAAGAAGAATGACTCCAAAGTCAAGCCAGAGGTCATACAACTTCACACCTGCTAAAGAAGTCAATAGATTAACGTCGAAAATTATCAGGAAGATAGATGGCTCGAGAATTGGTTTCAATTCTAAAATGCCCAAGGAGGTTTCAACTCCTCTACGGACTCCAAACACGGTGCCATTTCTTCTCTATGTATCTTTAGCTTCTATACAATATAATCAGAAATCTTTGTTGGCAAGTTAACATTTGGTTCATTTTATAACTGCAGGCTTCAGTGCAGCGAGTAGCAAAGTCTTCGATGATCACTCCATTGTCAGAAAACAGAAGGTAAATGAAGCTCAGCCAATTCTTAAACAAATACTATGGTAGTGTGTTTAAAATACTATACCAGCAAGGTATAGTGCATGTTACTGTTATATAATAATATCCAATATTATGTTTGGTAACTTGAAATTTTACAAGGACTAAAGCTCAAGACAAACTAATAATGGGTAGTACACATTATCGACCTTACAATACAATACAATACAATACTTCTTTTTGTACTCTTTATGACATAAGTACTGTACTATGCTACCAAACACTTCAGAATTATTTCATTTATGATTTGTATTGTACATAAAATGCAGTGCAAGGATGGCCCCTGATTCCTCAGCATCGCGGAGCAAAACAGTTCGATCAAGATGGAACTTCCTCCCTACCGAGTAAGGAGTTGGTTGCATTGTCTTTATTTCTATATAAGTAGAGAAACTTTTATAGTAGTTAGGAACTTATAGACAAAGCAAAAGATGTGCTCCTTACATAGCACAGAGAAATAAGTCACCCACTGAGGAGACTTGCTATGCAAGTAATTGATATTGCTTTGAACTAGTTTCTTGGATTAACAAAAATACCTTCTGTTTTTGCATTTTGTTAACCTTCTAACAGTTGGTTAACAAAGAAAAAGGAATTATTTTTGTAAAAAAATAAATAAGGGAACATTTTTTATTTATGTTTAAGTTGGAAGTATAAATTACCATCTTTTTCGAGTAAGAGAAGTTCCTAGTTCTACATATTATCTCGTAAATTGGTGCCTAAGTTCCAAAAGCTTAAGGAAATCAAGAAACAAGTTTCCATGAGTTCATTTACTTTGAAAGGGACCTTGAGTCCTGATTATTTGTTTCTTCATGCCAGTTGTTCAAAGTTTTTGAGTCTCTGCAGAAACAAACCACAGTCCCCGAGTACATTTACACCTTTTGGCTTGAGAGTAGAAGAGCGAGCTGCAAGAAGAAAAGAGGCAAGATTTGAAATGTTGAAATTTTAGTCCTCTTCATTTGAAGGGGGAAAATCAGTTATATTGTTTTAGTAAATTGATTCTCTGGTTTTCTTTCTTCTCCATCTTTCAGAAGCTTGAAGAGAAATTCAAGGCCACTGAGGTAAAAAAACAGCTGCAGCAAGCAACACTCAAGGTAATTGATTTCAAGCAAGTGCTGGTCAAACCAAGTGCCTAGCCTAACACCTCCAATTTGCCTCTTTTACCAAAATCTTGTTAGATAAACAAAAAATAATAAATCAGTGCTCTCAATGTGTTTCGTTTACATTTGTTCGTATTTAAAAAATCAACCCAGAAAATACTGAACTGTCCCAAAGAAAGTTTAAATTGCAAGTAGCAATACAACCATCCGGGATTCTCTTGCACCTTACACAGAAAAAGTAATATCAGGATTCCTGACATACAACATCTAGCAAACTAGCAATGCAACAAATAGCAGCTGCTGCTATTTGAAAAAATTGTCAGGACTACTAGCAAACACAACTAATATCCTCCAGTATCACGTAACACATCCTGTCCATTTTATCCTCTTGACATGTTAATCTCCATATGCAATGGGGAGTTATCAAGTTGACATATGGGTTAATCATCACTGGCTGTCCGCGTGACAATATGCAACCTGAACTCCAGTTTGTTTACTCTTTTTCTTCTCCTTCGCATCTGCTTAATAACACACAACAGGTATAAAGAACTATTAAGCTCGATATTTGACAATTAGTGTCCTTGCATTGTTTTGGCAGGAGAAAGCAGAAATAGAAATCAAAAAGCTGCGGCAAACGCTTTGCTTCAAAGCCAGGCCACTGCCTGATTTTTACAAAGAAAGAAGAACACCAAAGAACCAGACAGAAAAGGTAAGGTCATTTTTATTTTCCTCGAATGAAATGATTTGGCAACAAGGATGGTGGCTATCTGTAAAGACGTGTGATGAAGTTGCACAATATATTCTGTTAACAATCAATGAGATAACTTATGCCAACACAGCAGATTGATACAAACAATTCCTCCATCAACAGCATTTCCATATTTCCCTGCAAAAAATAACATCCCAAACAACATAAGCAGGAGTAATGGCTTACCAGAATTTTGAAATTTTGCTCAGAGATAACTTCTGAAGGTTCATTGGCACGTCCTGCAGGTACCATCAACACATCCTGAGTCAAAATCAACGGCACTAAGGAGAAAAACGGGTCCCAGCAGCACCAGCATAGTCCAAACCAAAACCTCTCATCCTCAGAGATCCTCAACCAAGAACAGTAGCTCCAATCATGTTCAGGCAAACAATAATCAAGCTTCAGCTCGTTCTCATTCACTGCCTGAAACTACCACTAGTGAGAATATGTCTCGAAATATTCAGCAAGGATAAGCAAAAACATATTAACTGTTATATGTAAGACAAGGAACCTGTGTACCAGAGTGAAAGTCATGCGTGAGGGACTTTCATTCTCAATTAATGCCAACTCATCTATGCTCGCCAAGATTCTTCATGTAATTAACTTTAAAATTGCAGCCAAGATTTCATTGTATCTTAAATATCAGCTGGTATAAATGTAGGCACTGTAATACCATCCATGTAAATCAATTTGATGAGATGAATGCTGGAACAAGATTTTCTCAACTTACATACAAATTTAGAGTTAATATGGAAATTATCAAGAACCTGTGATGATTCCTGAGGTTGCAGGAAGATACACAGATATTGTTCAAAATGATGAATGGAACTGCCTCATTTTATAGGATGTGTAGTTAACCCAAAAGGTAGTCATTCTAACAAACTAGTATGGGCGTTGTAATACGACAACAAAAATAAACTTTGGTTAGGCCTACCTCAATAATGAACAATAACTTCAGAAATTTTCAAGGAGACAATTTCCAGTGTTAATAGACCTGCACGTCCCAAACATCTATCTCATTTTCTTACCTCGCATCATGTAGTGTAAATAGTATCTTCCATTACTTGAGGGAATCTAAGTTCTGCCTTCCAATACAGCTGTGATGAGAGAAATTGACAGAGAATATGGAATGTTCCAGGAAGAATTTCAGCAGCATCAAAACATAGGCATTGACTAGCTACGATGTGTGAGCTAGAATTAGATGACTGTAGGAGCTGCTTTCCTGCTACAGTACATGAAAGCCTCAGTAACTATCTATACATCCCAGGAAAAGAAATTCAACGTAAAAAGAAAGGTCTGAATGTGCTCCCATGCCCAGGCAAGACAGATTGCTTCGGTCATCACAAAAGGTCATGCACTTCATCAGGTAAAGGAAACTGATTCAAAGGTTGTGTGTTTATGGAAGTTTAAAAAGATTATAGAATGGAAACATAAATTCTTCCATATTTTATAATACAGATGAAAGATATTTATGTACTTGATTTGCAATGCAAATACAGAATTATTTGGCCAACCTGCTCTCTCTTGAGTCTTGTCATGAATTGTTATTTCTTTACATGAAATGCAGGCTTCATCATAAATTAACCAGTTCTAGTTCTGAGACCTTATAATTTTCAGCTCCTCTCAGCCAATTTGCAGTCTTTCTCATGTGATGTATACAGAAATTTTGATGGTACTTATATCCTTGCATCTCTGGTCCACCTCTTCAAGATGAATTGGATAGGGAGCATCTTGATATTTTTATAATCCAGCACTTTAAGAGCATGACTGCACAGGACTCCCATGAACTCAAATTTCATACAATTGCAGGCAACTTTCATGTCAGAGAAGTTAAAGATAACTCTATATTCCCGTAGTTGCCTGAATATGCTTACTTTATACTCAATCACTGGTCCAGTCTCAGTGCCTTGGTCGATAACCATATTTAAGCATGTTTCGTATTCTTGCTGAAACAATTCGAATATCTCAGGTGTGTATAGATCCCTTGCATGCTTCAACAGAATAATATCCCCTATCAGTCTCGGCATATTCTGACTCATATTATAATTAGCTTCCAATTCTTTGTAATGCCAATTACTTACCAATTTCCCAAAATACTTTAAAAACGAAAGGACATCTGTGTCAAACTTTAGATACTTCTTCAAATTAGAATCAAAGCCTTCATACAGCCGGGAACCTTTTATGCCAGCACAAAAAATATGCCTTCTATATGCCATGGCCCATTTCTCTCTATTTTCAAATAACTCCGTCAGCCACTCATTTTCCCAAAGACCATAAACATCGAGTAAAACCTTCCATGCATTAATGAAGTCTTCTTCTTCCTCATGATAAAAGAGGCAACTGCTCACGTCATTTACGAAAGAACTTGAGCCTGCAAACCCAGGGCTTAGTTGTTTGAGTATTTTTTGGTATACATGCCAAACACATATCCGATGATCTGATTCTGGAAATACTGAGTCAATTGCCTCTGTCAGGATAGGATCTTCATCACTGACGAACGTCTTTGGTGTCTTTCCAGACATCGCTTCCAGAAAAGTTCGAAATAGCCACTTAAAAGAATCAACAGTTTCATCATACAAAAGAGCAGCACCAAAGACCACCATTTGTTGATGGTGGTTCACACCAATGAAAGGTGAAAATGGTCGACAATCATTATTTAATCTACAGGTTGTATCAAAGCAAACAACATCACCGAAATCACTATAGTCTACCACCATCTTTGCGTCGGCCCAAAATATGTTAGCAATTTGATCTTCAGCATCAAGTTGCATAGCATAAAAAAAAGATGGATTCTTGGCTTGCTTTGTTTGAAAATATTGCTGCAGTCTCCCTGCTTCACCTTCTTTCATTTCTCTCGTACGTTTTGAAGATAGTCTACTACTGTAATCAATAGTATTATACCCATGGTCAACACAGTCCCTAACTGATTGACATGAAAATTCAGAAAACAATGTTGACTGGTCTTTAGAGCCATCTTGTGCATTGCTTTCAACAACTTGGGCTAAAGCTACTCTCTTCTGTGATCGTAACATGCGAACCCTAGATGCAGCAACAAGTTCATGATTGTGCTTTTCTTCAAAATGAGTAACACGATATTTACCATCAGGTTGACGTGAAATGACCAGTTGTGCTAGACAACCAATTCTTGTTTCCTTTCTAGGTCTCTTCACATTCAAATCCCTTTTGTCTTTCTGCCGAAAACCCTCTCTGAAACAAGTGAACCTCCTTGATGCCACACCACCATCTATCTTACTCCTATTTACATAGTCTTTACGAACGCTAAAACCTATTCGCCCCGCATATGAATTATAAAAATCATATGCGTGATTTTCTGATTCAAAACCCATTCCAAGCTTTGGCACCCCATCCATAGACGAAGAATTTGCTAAGTCAGCTTCAACAGCCTGGGCAAAGGTTAATCTCTTTTGTGATGGTAACATATGCGCA